AAATATTGAGCCTTGGAATGAGTAACTTCTTAAAGCCAAGTATTTTGAAAAGGAGAGCTGGAACATGGACCACAGGGCACAGGGAGGGTTACACAACGGGCATAGCGATGGGGCCCAGCCACATCTAGTCTCAACCGTGCCCATGTGAGATGAAATTGCAGAAACCAGAAAGCAACTACAACTCTGAATAAAACATTGCTAAAGAGCTTTGAAATACCCAGGATCTTTGCACTATTGCCGTGCGGTGATATATTGTACTTATTTCCAAGTGGGTACTCTTGAGAGAGGTTCAAAAATTAGATTTCTGCCTTAAAAGCCACTCATCTTTCCCAAGAGCCTGGTTCAGTAGCTCTGGTGTGGGAAGCAGAATTCTTATTTTTATAAATAAGTGCCCCAGATGATTTCCTAAGATGTTTGAAAAGCACTGATATAGGTGATTGAAATAAATGGAAGTTTTGTCTCTGTGTAGATGTTCAACCTAGTTTATATAAAGCCATTTTAAGAACTGTGCTACTTTAAATTGCTCCATATGCTTTAAGAAAGGAAAATTTGACTTTGCTTGTTAAAACAAATAAAAAAGTTGTCCTAGCCCTAGCTGGTTTGGCTTAGTGGATAGAACGTCGGCCTGTGGACCCAAGGGTCCTGGGTTCGATTCTGGTCAAGGGCATATATTTCAGTTGCAGTCTCCTCCCTGGCCAGGGCCCTGTTCGGAGCAAGTGCAGGAGGCAACCAATCGATATGTTTCTGTCACATCGATATTTCTCTCTGTCTTTCCCTCTCTCTTCCACTCTCTCTAAAAATCAACGGAAAAATATTCTCGAGTAAGGATAAAAAAAAAGTTTTCTAGGAATATTGAAGGGACTGAAAAATAAAGATAATTTTTAAGTGGTAGTGAAGTAATAGCACAGGTTTACTAAATTCAAAAGATGTTTGAAAAACAGTCAATATTTCATCCTTATTTTAAAGATGCTAATTGTGTATTTACTGAACATTTTCATTTCATCACTTGATAAAATTGATGCAAATTTTAAAGAAATCAGGTCTGAGAAATATAAATGTCATACATTTTTTAAAAGTGTTTGCTTTTATTAAATTGCTATACATTCATTTAAAAGAACCAGACCATATAGAAAAATATAAAAAGAAATAAAAACTATTCAAGATCTTATAATCTTAACATTTTGGAAAATCCTTCTAGGCATCTCTAAAAAACAGATGCATGTACACAATTTTGCGTGAATGGATTCATAGTGGTTTAGAACCTGTCTTTTTTTTTTTTTTTTAATCTCCACCCGGGATATGTTTTTACTGATGTTTAAAGAAGCAGAGAGAGAGAAACATTGATGTGAGAAAGAAACAGCCATTGGTTGACTGCTGTATTTGCCCAACCTGGGATTGAACCTGCAACCTAGATATCTGCCCTGACTGGGATTCGAACCCACAACCTTTTGGTGTATGGCCACTGAGCCACACGGCCAGTGCTAGAATTTGTTTGTTTGTCTTTTAATCCATTATAAATTTATATTTTTCAGTGTCTCTAAAGCAGCGGTTCTCAACCTGTGGGTCGCGACTCCTTTGGGGATTGAACGACCCTTTCACAGGGGTCGCCTAAGACCATCAGAAAACACATATATAATTACATATTGTTTTTCTGATTAATCACTATGCTTTAATTATGTTTAATTTGTAACAATGAAAATACATCCTGCATATCAGATACTTACATTACGATTCATAACAGTAGCAAAATTACAGTTATGAAGTAGCAATGAAAATAATTTTATGGTTGGGGGTCACCACAACATGAGGAACTGTATTAAAGGGTCGAGGCATTAGGAAGGTTGAGAACCACTGCTCTAAAGGAAGATGTCTACATCAAAAGTTGTAATCGCTCTATGATATTTCATTCTCTGTATGTGTGAAAATTTGCTCTGCACCTCACCTTCCTTAGCTCTGAAAGAGTATAAAAATAGTACTGCAGTCTGTGTAAAGCCCAACGGTGCCTGGCACTATTATGTATAATGATAACATTCAGTAAATGGTAACAGCAATTATTATACATTGTTTCCCAATTTTTTTATTGTTAAAGCAAAATTAAGATAAACATCTTGTACATTTTCCCCCATTCTAGGTCAAAAGGTATATTTTCCATAAATTCTTAAAGAACTAGACTAACTCTGTGTTTGACCATTATTTTAGCCTTCTGTAAAAAAGATGGTGATGTAAAGTGCTTGAAGTGAATCATTGCTACCACAAAGGCCTGTCTTTGTTATTCAGTGATCAGTCAATAACAGATCTATAAAATTATGCCTTCAGGTATATATAAGCAATATTTTCATGAGCTTAGACATAATATTTTACATCCTTTGTAAATAAAAGACTTTATATTGCTCTTCTAGTTTAACAGAAAGCTTACTGTGAGCTTTTTAAAAGACTCAATCTTTTAAGATGCTTCCAGTACTAAATGATGTTATCCTGTCGGGACCAAGAAGCTTACAGGATCAGTGCCCAGTGTTGTCAAACTAACACCCCAGATTCCCTGTCCGAGTTGATCTTGCTCTGATAATATTACCATGGGAGATTTGCCTTTCTAAAGCACATCATTCTTTGAGCGTGATTTTTTTTTTTTTTGGCCTGTTTTTAAAAGGCAAGAAAATACCAGTCTGAGGCGTATCTATGACGGTTGGGAAACAAAAGCGCCATTGGTGAAAGATTCTAAAGGGGCTGAGGAGAGACTAAGAGCCTGTTCTTCTTGGCTGACCACTGAATCTGGCATTGTCGCTGATGGAGGCACAAATACATCCCAGGTCCAAGTCTCTTTGATGCAGGGGGCGCCTCCCAGGCCCAAGTTCCCCAGCTAAATGCCTGGTCCTGGACATGGCACTTTATCGTCCCAAAGAGGTTGCTAAAGTCATGGTTACTCACCCCCCAAGAACCTTAGAATGTCTCAACTGCACCCTCATTGAGGACAAGGTGAGAATGACATTTGATTAGTGATGATAAAGGCCAGGTGGAACAAGGTGAAAAGCTATAAGTTTTTTTCATGGAATCTAAGAGGCAAGTCATAACTCCATCTTTATTTCCTTTGCTTTTTCCAGGGAGGCCAGAATTGACTTGATTTTTTTTTTCTATGTCTTTAAAATTTTAGTTCCTTATTCATGGTGGATTTTAAAGAAAATAATGGGTGACATCACCTTACTGTGAAGCAGCTAAGTTGCACTGAGAGAAGCACAAATGGAACCAAACAATGTGTGGAAAGAATTTGTTTTACAGATAGGACCGTCTTCTCTGGTTTTGAACTTCCGCCATCCTAAGTTAAAGTGTTAATCAGCATTGGAGTATCTTCTGTTCGAAATAGGGGAACCGTATCTCTTAAGAAGGTTTATTTAACAACTTGTCATTCAGGAAGAAAGCTGAAGCTTGTGATTATACACCCAATGTCCAAACAAACACATAAAAAACAAAACAAAACACCATATTCTCCCAAGTTAAGGATTATCATGGTTGGTTCTCAAATCTTGGTGTGGGAAAGTTTTCAGGGCTGTTTTGTAAGATAAGAGTGAACCACCCCCTACTCTCTCCCAATCCTGTCCCTCCCCAGGATTAATTCATATCTCATGGCAACGCAAGGTCCTTCGTATTATGTGGGGTGAACTTTTTAGAATTTGCAATGTGCGAGAAGATGAGGAAGAAGTGGTCCTTCCTTAAGCAGTTAGTCCTCAGTGTGAGGGTAGGGGGTGGGGGGAGGGGAAGGAAGGATAACGGGGGGCAAGAAAAGCCGCCTCTCTAGGCCAATATGAGCAAAAGTGGCCCGGCTTTCTGCCCAAAGATAACATTTCCTAATGGCTAGTCCAACAAGCCGGAACAGGGAAAGCAACGACTTTCCGATATGTTAGAAAGTATTTTAAAAGACGGCACGAGATCTAACTTTAGTTGAGTTGTACTTCTTTCTTTTAATAGCGTAAGTCGGATAACGGGCCGCAGCAGCAAATACACGCTCTTCTGCTTCCCAGGCCTTTATACCCGGTGCACCCCATGCTCTGCGGGACCCACTCTTTTATCGAAGGTTCCAACAACCTTTCCCCCCCCCCTACTTTCTGGGGAAAAAAAAAAATTCACAAAGTATTTTAAAAAAAAAAGATGGCCCCAGAACTCATTTATTTTAGGTGTCTTTTTTTTTTATAA